AGCAGATTAATCAGGCACTAATTCAATTTACAACACCCACTTTTATTCAGCTCGGTGGCAAGGAATTCAAAGCGGGGGGAGGGGCGGGGGGAGGGGAGGGGGCGGGGGCCGGCCTGGGGTTCGCCGCTGCCCGGGCAGCCCCCCGTCCCCTCGGGCCGCCCCGTCGGGGATCGCCGGGGAGGAGAGCCCGCCCCGCCGTGCCAGGGCCCGGCCGCTTGAGTGACACGGCGTGGGCAGCGCTCCGGGAGAGGGCACCTCCGTTGGAAAAATAAAAGTGCCCTTTTAATCAAGGAGAGAGGGGAAGGGGGGGGGGGGAGGCGAGCAGGGCGGCCGGGAGCCGCGGGAGGGAAACCCCTCCGCTCCCTCCCGGGACCTTCTCTCTCCGTACCGTCCCCCGGGGCCGGGACGGCGGGGTGTCCCCAGCCGGGATCAGCCGGGGAAGAGCTGAGCCGCAGCTCAGCTCTTCCTGGACCCCGAGGGAGGCAGCCGTCGGGGGGGCGGTCCGCCCGGCAGCGGGAATGGGAGCCGGGGCTGGGGCACGGCCCGGTTCGGGGCAAGTGCCGCCCTTTAACCCCTTCCTCATTTTAAGGGGAGAGCCGAGAAGCTGCAAACCGTGTGGCCGGGGCTGCGCTGGGGTCACCGCCCCTTCCCCCAGATCAGGCCCCTAAAACAACCTGCCGGGGGTCGCCAGGCCCCTTAATTCCCGCGTCGTGTCCAAGGACTCGAGATTTCCCCCCAGTTAAAATTCCACGGTATCGGGTTTTCTTTCCCAGGGGCGAAGGCTCCGAACCGGGACCCGCCGGGAGCCCCCTCGGGCCGGGCCGGTGCCCGGGCGGGCCATGGGCTCCTGCAATGGAGGGTCGCTCTGCATCGGACTCCTCTTTCCCTCCCCCCAGATCCAGCTGAGGGGTTCAGGCCCTGCCTGGCCTGGTTGGAGAAGGGGAGCCCAGCAGCGACCAGCTGGGAGAGGGTCCCATCCTGTCCCTTTCGGCGTCCCCACAGGTAGGCGGAGGAGGGGGGACCTCCTCCCGGGGCCGCTGCCCCCCCTCTCCCCTCCCCATGCCCACGG